AAAAAAAAAAAAAAAAAAAGGCTGCCCACTGCTCCGGGTGTGTTCACTACTGTGTGTGTGCACTTGGATGGGTTAAATGCAGAACACAAATTCCGAGTATGGGTCACCATACTTGGCCACACTTCACTTCAAAATAAATCAGAAATATACTGCACCTGTTTCCATCTTCTGTGCAGATATAAGTCATTCTTCTCAAAGACATCAGGTGGTATAACAGGTCATACTTTCATATGCAGTAAGTTAAGTGTAAGCGGTTCAAAACAGTTGTTATTTGTTGATCATTCATGATTGCTTCTACTTCACAAAACACAGTGGAAAGTCCTTCATCATCAGCTCTTGGAAGAGTGATTGCAAAATTCTTTTAAGTGATTTAATGAGTCTTTCCCAAGCTACTCCATAATGTGGTTCAGAGGGTGGATTGAATTCCCATTTCACTCCTTCCATCGCCAGTGTGTCATGAATTTTGGCATAATTTAGACTTTTGAGGTTTTCTGACAATTCTCTTTGACTGTCAATCAAATTTGTACCTTAATCTGATTTTATGATATCTACTGGGCCTCATCTGCATATGAATCTTCATATGGCATTGATACACCAATCTGTATCTAAAGAATTGGAGACCTCAAGATGAATGGCATGAGATATTTAACAAGTAAAAATCACTCCATATCTCTTCACCAGAGAACGACCTCTCTTGACCTCTATGGGTCCAAAATAATCAACATCCACATGAGAAAATGGTGGTAAATCTGGTGTGATACGTTCAACTGGCAGATAAGCCATTTTCTGTTCTCCTGTCCTACCTTGATGATGTCTGCAGAAGATACAATTACCAATCATTTTACGTGCTAAAGCATTGTACAAGGTATCCAGAAACGCTGGTGGAGTTTGGATAACATATAATTTCTTCCAGAATCACTTGTGTATTGATGAATGTGTCTCATGATGAGTTTTGCGACATAAGAATCTTTGGGTAAGATAGTTGAATGTTGTTGTGTAACTGGCATAGCCAATTTACTAAGATGACCTCCTACCTTCAGTATTCCATCATCGTCAAGAAATGGATCCAAGCTAGAAATGCTGCTTGAGGTGTTAACTGACTTTTTTCTTTGTAAGGATTCAATGTCAGTTTTGAAATATTGCTGTTGTACATGAGATATAATCACCCTGTCTGCTCTGCCTAAATCTTCTATGGAAAGACGGTTAATTTCCACGACATACAGGCACATTTTTATCCCCATCTTTTCCTTTCAGTTTTGTTTTTAGGATGTCCTTCAATTTCAGTAGCCATGCCACTGCTCTTTTCAAGTCATTCCACTGTGAGAAGTGTTCAATTAACTTGTTTATGGGATTTTTCATAATTGTTACGACATTTGCTTCTGTAATTCTTTTGAAATTCTTTGGTAACTTGGGACCACTGGATTTGAATTTGCAGAGGAAAACTGGACCATTAAACCACAATTTTGATCTCAAGAATGCATCTACATGCAGGCCTCTTGATGCTTTATCAGCCAAGTTATTCTCTGTACTTACATATTTCCATTGATCTTTAGTTGTTAAATCTCTGATGACAGAAAAACAGTTGGCCACAAAGGTATGAAATCTTGTCTGATCATTATTTATATACTTCAACATGGACTGGCTGTCAGACCACAACACTGACGGTTCCAGTTGCATTTGCAGTTCTCTTCTCAACATTTTATCCATTTTTATCCAACCTAGGAATGGTGATTTGTTTTAATGGAGCTACTCTTGCTTTTCCCATGACAAAGGAGACATGAATTTCATTTCTGTCGTTCACATACCTCAAATAGCTAACAGTGCTATTTGCTATATCCTACTTCACTGGCATCACAAAAGTGATGAAGCTGGAAAGCCTTGATTTGATAGAAATTATCAGGTTTAGTACACCTTTCGATCTGTAAATTGGAAAGTTTGTCGAGATCCACAAGCCACTGTTGCCATGACTGAAGAATGGTGTCTGGAAGGATTTGATCCCAACCATACTGACATTTGCAGAGTGTTTCAAGTATGTGTTTGCCTTTTAAGGTCAAAGGAGCAAGAAATCCTAATGGATCATAGACAGAACTTAGCATGGAGAGAATTCCTCTTCTTGTCATTGGCTTATTGTTCACAGCAATTTTGAAATTGAATGTGTCATTCTCTATATTCCACCAGATACCCAGTGCACTTTCAATTTGTGGACCTTTTCTGTCCAGATCCAGATCTTTTACAAGCTCCCCTCTGTCATTTATTGAAATTGACTTGATCACTCTTTTGCTATTACTTGTCCATTTGGTAAGCTTGAATCCTCCCTTTGAACATATCTCATTGAGTTCTTTGTATAAGTTAATGGCTTGGCTTTCTGTGGATACAGATTTCAAACAATCATCTACATAGAAATTGTGCTGGATGGTATCTACAGCCTCTTTACTATGATTGTGTTGATTGTCTTTGGCTGTTTTTTGCAGTGCAAAGTTTGCACAACTAGGTGATGAAACAGCACCAAAGATATGCACCTTCATTCGATAATCTTCAAGGTTTGAATCAAGATTTCCCTTTGGCCACCATAAAAAATCTGAGAAAATTTGTATGTTCTTTATGAACTCTCACCTGATGTAACATTGCTTGTACATCTGCCATAACAGAAATGTTTTCTTTACGAAATCTAATAAGTACTCCTAGGAGATTATTTGTTAGATCTGGTCCTTGGAGTAATTCCCCATTCAAGGATGTGTTTTTGAATGGTGATGAACAATCATATACCACATGTAAAGTTTCCTTGCTCTTATGGTAAACACCATGGTGAGGTATTGTGACACTGTGGGACCACGGAAGGCTGAACACGCACACACACACAGAGGCGGCAAGTGCGGGGGAACGTGCTTTTTATTGTCCTTAAGTAGGTAGTGAGAGGAATGTTGAGATGGAAAAGTGAGGGGAGTGAAGCTTGGTGCAGGCAGTGATGTCTCGTGCTTGGCGCGGCGGGATGATCGTGGAGCAGCAGCGGCTCATCTTCCTCGCTTACGTCAGCTTCTAGAAAGGACAGAGAGACAGCCATTAGTGAAGTGAGTGTCTTCACTTACCTTTTTTCTGTTGAGTGGCCGCGAGCTCCTTTTATAGCTCCTCGTCTTCTACCGGAGGGTGAATAGGAGCCGCGCCACTCATTGGCCACCAGCCGTGCAGCATTTAGTTGCTCCGGCCCACAGCCACGTGCACTCCGGCTGTCCAAAACAAACGTGGTGCTGAAAGGGTGCTGTCTTTTCACCCCAGCACTGTCAGTCGTGCGAGGAGCATTAGATGGTTTCCGTGCGCAGGCTGTTGGCCCGCAGTCACAGGTATGTACCAGATTTTTCCCTCATCAGCATGCATTTGCTCTGAAGGTACTTTCTCAGCATAGTCGTTCTGCAGCATTTTCTCTATAAAGTCTGTGTACTCTCTGTGCAATTTTTCATCACGTTTCATTCTTTTTGCAAGTCCTTCTGCTCGCTGGAATGCCATCTCTCCATTGTTTGGCATTATTACACTATCATTGCGAAATTGGTATATCATTGGTAGAGGTAAGGAGTAATGACTGTCTACTTGTACAACTTCATCCTGAGGCATTTCCTTTTTCTCTTCATAATATGTTTCAGGAAACTTTTCATTATACTGTTTGAGGAAAAGTTCTTCAATCTTGGCTAGCAAAATTCTATTTGCAGTCACCGTTGTTTAGCTTATTTCATCATTTTTGGCCAAACTGATTGGACCACTGACTACCCACCCAAGTAAGGTACGTACTGCGTAGGGACCGTCTCCTTCACTATTAACAATTTGCCAAGGTTCCATTGCTTTTGGAATATTAGCTCCAATCAGACGTTCTACATCTGCATCAATTTCCATGACTTCCACATCCTTTAGTAAGGCCATTTCTTAACATCATCTACTAAAACAATGTCTTCTCTTGAAACCGGAATTGCATCTTGGGTGAAAACCTTTGGCAATGAAATGAAGTTATTACCATCTATATCCCCTACTTCCAGATCTCATAGGTGGTAACAAGTTTTTCTTGAGACATTGTTCCGAGTAGGATCTCTGTTTTTATTCCCACTGCTTTCAACTGTCTCATCAAACTCTTTGTGCAAAATGTAGCTGAGCTGCCTGGATCTAGAAAGGCATATGTGGATATCGATTTGTTTCCATTAGACACTTTAATCTGCACTGGACCTATTGCTAGTAAGCAGTCTTTACTGACCCCAGTATCTTCACCAGATCCAAGTGAAACAAGAGCACTATTTACAAGCGTATCTACTGAAGATATTTGGGCACCTTTGGATCCCTCTAGTAGATCCACTGAATTGTGAGATCTATTTTTCTCTTTGTTGTCCATAGATATGTGCAGGAGAGTAGGATGTTTGCATTGGCAGATTTCACGTCATCCTTCTTTTGCAGCTTTTACTTAAATGTCCCTTTACAAGACATCCGAAACAAAATCCATTTCCTTTCAGAAATTTCACTTTCTTCTCATGCTGCTGTATCTTAAAACGTTGACAGTTGGTTAGTACATGATCACCTGTACAATATGGACATTAAGTATACAGGATA